GATCAGGTTGAGGTCCATGGATTAGGTTGAGGTTCGGGGATCAGGTTGAGGTTCAGGGATGAGGTTGAGGTCCATGGGTTAGGTTGAGGTTCAGGGTTGAGGTTCGGGAATGAGGTTGAACTTCGGGGATCAGGTTGAGGTCCATGGGTTAGGTTGGGGTTCAGGGTTGAGGTTCGGGGATCAGGTTGAGGTCCATGGATTAGGTTGAGGTTCGGGGATCAGGTTGAGGTTCAGGGATGAGGTTGAGGTCCATGGGTTAGGTTGAGGTTCAGGGTTGAGGTTCGGGAATGAGGTTGAACTTCGGGGATCAGGTTGAGGTCCATGGGTTAGGTTGGGGTTCAGGGTTGAGGTTCGGGGATCAGGTTGAGGTCCATGGATTAGGTTGAGGTTCGGGGATCAGGTTGAGGTTCAGGGATGAGGTTGAGGTCCATGGGTTAGGTTGAGGTTCAGGGTTGAGGTTCGGGAATGAGGTTGAAGTTTGGGGATCAGGTTGAGGTCCATGGGTTAGGTTGGGGTTCAGGGTTGAGGTCCATGGATGAGGTTGAGGTCCATGGGTTAGGTTGAGGTTCAGGGTTGAGGTTCGGGAATGAGGTTGAAGTTTGGGGATCAGGTTGAGGTCCATGGGTTAGGTTGGGGTTCAGGGTTGAGGTTCAGGGATGAGGTTGAGGTCCATGGGTTAGGTTGAGGTTCAGGGTTGAGGTTCGGGAATGAGGTTGAAGTTTGGGGATCAGGTTGAGGTCCATGGGTTAGGTTGGGGTTCAGGGTTGAGGTCCATGGGTTAGGTTGAGGTTCAGGGTTGAGGTTCGGGAATGAGGTTGAAGTTCGGGGATCAGGTTGAGGTCCATGGGTTAGGTTGGGGTTCAGGGTTGAGGTCCATGGATGAGGTTGATGGAATTGTTGACGCGCATACAATGAAAACCACTGGTTTGTACTCACCGGAATCGGCAACTTCCCCGACAGGAACTCGCTTCTTCCAGGCCATGTGACCCAGGATGGAGAATATGGCAAATCCAGCAAAGAAGCTGGTGCAGCAGTTTCCAATGGCAATCACCAGGGTGTCCCTGAAAGACAGACGTCCCATCAGTACATACCTCATACCTCAGCGAGGGAATGCCCTACATCTGGAGGAAGGGGGTGTGTCTGTGCCCCTCCCCCCTTCCCTGACAACCAATCAGATCCCACGGGCCTTTATTTAAAATGCAGGTTGAACAGTAAAGCAAAAACCTGACCGGCTGTTATGGGTGAGGTAAGCCAATCACAGCCAGCTCCTCCCACTGTGACCACCAGGAGACCGCTAGGACAACCTTCCTCTGTGGGGGGGATATTCTGAAGGAGGACGGAGATTATCCAGCATGCTGATCAATGAATCCCAGAGATAAAGACCCAACATGGCGGCACGGTCACCAACCAATCAGAATTCATCTCCACAATGAGAACGCCGGCCTCATCCGTTCTACATAATAGGATCTTACTGGCGGCAGTGCGGGGGAGGGGCGGCCACTTACCGGCAGTGCGGGGGAGGGGCGGCCACTTACCGGCAGTGCGGGGGAGGGGCGGCCACTTACCGGCAGTGCGGGGGAGGGGCGGCCACTTACCGGCAGTGCGGGGGAGGGGCGGCCACTTACCGGCAGTGCGGGGGAGGGGCGGCCACTTACCGGCAGTGCGGGGGAGGGGCGGCCACTTACCGGCAGTGCGGGGGAGGGGCGGCCACTTACCGGCAGTGCGGGGGAGGGGCGGCCACTTACCGGCAGTGCGGGGGAGGGGCGGCCACTTACCGGCAGTGCGGGGGAGGGGCGGCCACTTACCGGCAGTGCGGGGGAGGGGCGGCCACTTACCGGCAGTGCGGGGGAGGGGCGGCCACTTACCGGCAGTGCGGGGGAGGGGCGGCCACTTACCGGCAGTGCGGGGGAGGGGCGGCCACTTACCGGCAGTGCGGGGGAGGGGCGGCCACTTACCGGCAGTGCGGGGGAGGGGCGGCCACTTACCGGCAGTGCGGGGGAGGGGCGGCCACTTACCGGCAGTGCGGGGGAGGGGCGGCCACTTACCGGCAGTGCGGGGGAGGGGCGGCCACTTACCGGCAGTGCGGGGGAGGGGCGGCCACTTACCGGCAGTGCGGGGGAGGGGCGGCCACTTACCGGCAGTGCGGGGGAGGGGCGGCCACTTACCGGCAGTGCGGGGGAGGGGCGGCCACTTACCGGCAGTGCGGGGGAGGGGCGGCCACTTACCGGCAGTGCGGGGGAGGGGCGGCCACTTACCGGCAGTGCGGGGGAGGGGCGGCCACTTACCGGCAGTGCGGGGGAGGGGCGGCCACTTACCGGCAGTGCGGGGGAGGGGCGGCCACTTACCGGCAGTGCGGGGGAGGGGCGGCCACTTACCGGCAGTGCGGGGGAGGGGCGGCCACTTACCGGCAGTGCGGGGGAGGGGCGGCCACTTACCGGCAGTGCGGGGGAGGGGCGGCCACTTACCGGCAGTGCGGGGGAGGGGCGGCCACTTACCGGCAGTGCGGGGGAGGGGCGGCCACTTACCGGCAGTGCGGGGGAGGGGCGGCCACTTACCGGCAGTGCGGGGGAGGGGCGGCCACTTACCGGCAGTGCGGGGGAGGGGCGGCCACTTACCGGCAGTGCGGGGGAGGGGCGGACACTTACCGGATCACATTGTTGTCAAATTTGTTGTATGAAGCCATAGACAGGAGACCACCGAAGCCAATCCCCAGAGAGTAGAAGATCTGAGAGGCGGCGTCATTCCAAACCTGCAGAGGACAGACATGACTGAGGGGGGAAGGATTTATGCGTTACACAGAGAGGAAGATGAGGGTCTCCTGAGCCAATGAGGGGTCACCGTCTGTCCGGGACCGGAGCAGAGAGCCGTCCCCGGCCAATGAGGGGTCACCGTTGGGGGAGGATAAAGCTCAGTCTTATATCTCAGCACAGGATAAAGCTCAGTCTTATATCTCAGCACAGGATAAAGCTCAGTCTTATATCTCAGCACAGGATAAGGCTCAGTCTTATATCTCAGCACAGGATAAGGCTCAGTCTTATATCTCAGCACAGGATAAAGCTCAGTCTTATATCTCAGCACAGGATAAAGCTCAGTCTTATATCTCAGCACAGGATAAAGCTCAGTCTTATATCTCAGCACAGGATAAGGCTCAGTCTTATATCTCAGCACAGGATAAGGCTCAGTCTTATATCTCAGCACAGGATAAGGCTCAGTCTTATATCTCAGCACAGGATAAGGCTCAGTCTTATATCTCAGCACAGGATAAAGCTCAGTCTTATATCTCAGCACAGGATAAGGCTCAGTCTTATATCTCAGCACAGGATAAGGCTCAGTCGTATATCTCAGCACAGGATAAAGCTCAGTCTTATTATGCCCCCCCCCCTGATACCTGAGCACTCTGCAGTCTCCTCCAGTCCGCGGTCAGGTAGAACCTCACTCCGTCTATGGACCCCTCCAGTGTGGCCCCGCGTATGATCAGCACAATCAGCACCAAATACGGAAACGTGGCTGTAAAATACACAACCTGCGGAACAGACGGGGGAGGTGAGATGAAGAGGAAGGATAGGGATGACGAGGAAGGATAGGGGTGACGAGGAAGGATAGGGATGATGAGGCAGGATAGGGATGATGAGGCAGGATAGGGATGATGAGGAAGGATAGGGATGATGAGGAAGGATAGGGGTGATGAGGCAGGATAGGGGTGATGAGGAAGGATAGGGGTGATGAGGAAGGATAGGGATGATGAGGAAGGATAGGGATGATGAGGATGCGGGGGAGGGGCGGCCACTTACCGGCAGTGCGGGGGAGGGGCGGCCACTTACCGGCAGTGCGGGGGAGGGGCGGCCACTTACCGGCAGTGCGGGGGAGGGGCGGCCACTTACCGGCAGTGCGGGGGAGGGGCGGCCACTTACCGGCAGTGCGGGGGAGGGGCGGCCACTTACCGGCAGTGCGGGGGAGGGGCGGCCACTTACCGGCAGTGCGGGGGAGGGGCGGCCACTTACCGGCAGTGCGGGGGAGGGGCGGCCACTTACCGGCAGTGCGGGGGAGGGGCGGCCACTTACCGGCAGTGCGGGGGAGGGGCGGCCACTTACCGGCAGTGCGGGGGAGGGGCGGCCACTTACCGGCAGTGCGGGGGAGGGGCGGCCACTTACCGGCAGTGCGGGGGAGGGGCGGCCACTTACCGGCAGTGCGGGGGAGGGGCGGCCACTTACCGGCAGTGCGGGGGAGGGGCGGCCACTTACCGGCAGTGCGGGGGAGGGGCGGCCACTTACCGGCAGTGCGGGGGAGGGGCGGACACTTACCGGATCACATTGTTGTCAAATTTGTTGTATGAAGCCATAGACAGGAGACCACCGAAGCCAATCCCCAGAGAGTAGAAGATCTGAGAGGCGGCGTCATTCCAAACCTGCAGAGGACAGACATGACTGAGGGGGGAAGGATTTATGCGTTACACAGAGAGGAAGATGAGGGTCTCCTGAGCCAATGAGGGGTCACCGTCTGTCCGGGACCGGAGCAGAGAGCCGTCCCCGGCCAATGAGGGGTCACCGTTGGGGGAGGATAAAGCTCAGTCTTATATCTCAGCACAGGATAAAGCTCAGTCTTATATCTCAGCACAGGATAAAGCTCAGTCTTATATCTCAGCACAGGATAAGGCTCAGTCGTATATCTCAGCACAGGATAAAGCTCAGTCTTATTATGCCCCCCCCCCTGATACCTGAGCACTCTGCAGTCTCCTCCAGTCCGCGGTCAGGTAGAACCTCACTCCGTCTATGGACCCCTCCAGTGTGGCCCCGCGTATGATCAGCACAATCAGCACCAAATACGGAAACGTGGCTGTAAAATACACAACCTGCGGAACAGACGGGGGAGGTGAGATGAAGAGGAAGGATAGGGATGACGAGGAAGGATAGGGGTGACGAGGAAGGATAGGGATGATGAGGCAGGATAGGGATGATGAGGCAGGATAGGGATGATGAGGAAGGATAGGGATGATGAGGAAGGATAGGGGTGATGAGGCAGGATAGGGGTGATGAGGAAGGATAGGGGTGATGAGGAAGGATAGGGGTGATGAGGAAGGATAGGGATGATGAGGAAGGATAGGGATGATGAGGAAGGATAGGGATGATGAGGCAGGATAGGGGTGATGAGGAAGGATAGGGATGATGAGGAAGGATAGGGGTGATGAGGAAGGATAGGGGTGATGAGGAAGGATAGGGATGATGAGGAAGGATAGGGATGATGAGGAAGGATAGGGATGATGAGGAAGGATAGGGATGATGAGGAAGGATAGGGATGATGAGGAAGGATAGGGATGATGAGGAAGGATAGGGATGATGAGGAAGGATAGGGATGATGAGGAAGGATAGGGATGATGAGGAAGGATAGGGATGATGAGGAAGGATAGGGATGATGAGGAAGGATAGGGATGATGAGGAAGGATAGGGATGATGAGGAAGGATAGGGATGATGAGGAAGGATAGGGATGATGAGGAAGGATAGGGATGATGAGGAAGGATAGGGATGATGAGGAAGGATAGGGATGATGAGGAAGGATAGGGATGATGAGGAAGGATAGGGATGATGAGGAAGGATAGGGATGATGAGGAAGGATAGGGATGATGAGGAAGGATAGGGATGATGAGGAAGGATAGGGATGATGAGGAAGGATAGGGATGATGAGGAAGGATAGGGATGATGAGGAAGGATAGGGATGATGAGGAAGGATAGGGATGATGAGGAAGGATAGGGATGATGAGGAAGGATAGGGATGATGAGGAAGGATAGGGATGATGAGGAAGGATAGGGATGATGAGGAAGGATAGGGATGATGAGGAAGGATAGGGATGATGAGGAAGGATAGGGATGATGAGGAAGGATAGGGATGATGAGGAAGGATAGGGATGATGAGGAAGGATAGGGATGATGAGGAAGGATAGGGATGATGAGGAAGGATAGGGATGATGAGGAAGGATAGGGATGATGAGGAAGGATAGGGATGATGAGGAAGGATAGGGATGATGAGGAAGGATAGGGATGATGAGGAAGGATAGGGATGATGAGGAAGGATAGGGATGATGAGGAAGGATAGGGATGATGAGGAAGGATAGGGATGATGAGGAAGGATAGGGATGATGAGGAAGGATAGGGATGATGAGGAAGGATAGGGATGATGAGGAAGGATAGGGATGATGAGGAAGGATAGGGATGATGAGGAAGGATAGGGATGATGAGGAAGGATAGGGATGATGAGGAAGGATAGGGATGATGAGGAAGGATAGGGATGATGAGGAAGGATAGGGATGATGAGGAAGGATAGGGATGATGAGGAAGGATAGGGATGATGAGGAAGGATAGGGATGATGAGGAAGGATAGGGATGATGAGGAAGGATAGGGATGATGAGGAAGGATAGGGATGATGAGGAAGGATAGGGATGATGAGGAAGGATAGGGATGATGAGGAAGGATAGGGATGATGAGGAAGGATAGGGATGATGAGGAAGGATAGGGATGATGAGGAAGGATAGGGATGATGAGGAAGGATAGGGATGATGAGGAAGGATAGGGATGATGAGGAAGGATAGGGATGATGAGGAAGGATAGGGATGATGAGGAAGGATAGGGATGATGAGGAAGGATAGGGATGATGAGGAAGGATAGGGATGATGAGGAAGGATAGGGATGATGAGGAAGGATAGGGATGATGAGGAAGGATAGGGATGATGAGGAAGGATAGGGATGATGAGGAAGGATAGGGATGATGAGGAAGGATAGGGATGATGAGGAAGGATAGGGATGATGAGGAAGGATAGGGATGATGAGGAAGGATAGGGATGATGAGGAAGGATAGGGATGATGAGGAAGGATAGGGATGATGAGGAAGGATAGGGATGATGAGGAAGGATAGGGATGATGAGGAAGGATAGGGATGATGAGGAAGGATAGGGATGATGAGGAAGGATAGGGATGATGAGGAAGGATAGGGATGATGAGGAAGGATAGGGATGATGAGGAAGGATAGGGATGATGAGGAAGGATAGGGATGATGAGGAAGGATAGGGATGATGAGGAAGGATAGGGATGATGAGGAAGGATAGGGATGATGAGGAAGGATAGGGATGATGAGGAAGGATAGGGATGATGAGGAAGGATAGGGATGATGAGGAAGGATAGGGATGATGAGGAAGGATAGGGATGATGAGGAAGGATAGGGATGATGAGGAAGGATAGGGATGATGAGGAAGGATAGGGATGATGAGGAAGGATAGGGATGATGAGGAAGGATAGGGATGATGAGGAAGGATAGGGATGATGAGGAAGGATAGGGATGATGAGGAAGGATAGGGATGATGAGGAAGGATAGGGATGATGAGGAAGGATAGGGATGATGAGGAAGGATAGGGATGATGAGGAAGGATAGGGATGATGAGGAAGGATAGGGATGATGAGGAAGGATAGGGATGATGAGGAAGGATAGGGATGATGAGGAAGGATAGGGATGATGAGGAAGGATAGGGATGATGAGGAAGGATAGGGATGATGAGGAAGGATAGGGATGATGAGGAAGGATAGGGATGATGAGGAAGGATAGGGATGATGAGGAAGGATAGGGATGATGAGGAAGGATAGGGATGATGAGGAAGGATAGGGATGATGAGGAAGGATAGGGATGATGAGGAAGGATAGGGATGATGAGGAAGGATAGGGATGATGAGGAAGGATAGGGATGATGAGGAAGGATAGGGATGATGAGGAAGGATAGGGATGATGAGGAAGGATAGGGATGATGAGGAAGGATAGGGATGATGAGGAAGGATAGGGATGATGAGGAAGGATAGGGATGATGAGGAAGGATAGGGATGATGAGGAAGGATAGGGATGATGAGGAAGGATAGGGATGATGAGGAAGGATAGGGATGATGAGGAAGGATAGGGATGATGAGGAAGGATAGGGATGATGAGGAAGGATAGGGATGATGAGGAAGGATAGGGATGATGAGGAAGGATAGGGATGATGAGGCAGGATAGGGGTGATGAGGAAGGATAGGGATGATGAGGAAGGATAGGGGTGATGAGGAAGGATAGGGGTGATGAGGAAGGATAGGGATGATGAGGAAGGATAGGGATGATGAGGAAGGATAGGGATGATGAGGCAGGATAGGGATGATGAGGCAGGATAGGGGTGATGAGGAAGGATAGGGATGATGAGGAAGGATAGGGGTGATGAGGAAGGATAGGGGTGATGAGGAAGGATAGGGATGATGAGGAAGGATAGGGATGATGAGGAAGGATAGGGATGATGAGGAAGGATAGGGATGATGAGGAAGGATAGGGATGATGAGGAAGGATAGGGATGATGAGGCAGGATAGGGATGATGAGGAAGGATAGGGATGATGAGGAAGGATAGTGGTCGCACCTTTCCCGAACTTCGGATTCCCTTCAGCATGCAGAGGAAGATGATGATCCAAGCGATGAGCAGACACAGGGCCAGCTCCCAGCGCACGGGGCCCGGCTCACTGAGGCCGGAACTGTGGACCATTCCCAGCACCTTCTCACTGCAAAGACAGGGGGCAGCACAGAGCATGAGAGGCGGGGCCAATGCACCAGGGACTGCACCATAGAGGGGGGGGGGGGGGGCGCCCAGGGGT